TTCTTATTTATCCATCTTTTTTGTTGAAGTTAACAGATTACTATTATTACTACCTATTGATGATAGTACTGACCTTGTGATCTATTAGTATATGAACCAAGTCCTAACTAAGCATGTACCAAAAAGAGAAGTGTGAAAACTGTGAAATACAGAAGAATGCATCAATTGAAGTATCACTTTTAATATACTGTAAAAATTCATACTCCTCTGAGATCTTTTTTCTAATCTTTTAATCGCAGATTATTTTATTTTAGTATTTTCTATTCAAAAATTTTTTAAAACCAATCTCAAATTTGTATCTCTCACCTTTGCAGTTTTTTTAGTTTACTCCCTATTTGGGTTTATTTTTCAACTTGACACATAAGACTAGACATTCATTTATGCAGCAGAAATCTCCTATTTAACTTCAAATATTTGGGATTACTGTTATTTATCATGTATCTAACTTGATTGCTTATAGCATTATATGCAAATTATGTAATTTTGTTGAAAAAGTAAAAACTTACAAAAAATAACAAGTTTATGTCTGTTCACTGATAAACACAAACCAGTTTTCGTCAAAGCAAAGTAATCAAAATGTTCTATAATCAAACGCTAATAAAAATGTTCTACAACATTTCAGGCATAAAATATTTTTCCAATAGCGAGAAACACGCACCACAGCATTTCAGAACAAAAAACATCCTTAGATAAATAAATCCCTCTGATTACCACATCTAAAATTCACTGAACTTTTCCTTTTTAGAGTAAAAAACAGATGATAATTTCGAGAATTGCCTCAAATTTATAAACTTTAACAAGAAATCGTTTCCAGCTCACGAGACATCACACGGGCTCTAACAAGTATTCAACAGGTAAAGAAAAGACAAAGCTTGAAATAGCTGAAACATAACTATAAATAGATAGATACTACTTAATAATAGATGATAAAATGATCTCATCCAGTAACTGCAAATTTCGGATCAACAACTAATAAGTTACAATGAAACAAAGCAGTCGGTTTCTACCGACAATATTTACCTGATATTCTAAATTAGAGTCAAGTTCTTCTCTACATAAACAGCAATTTCCGATATCAAAAACAAAAAATGCTGTGGAATGAAGATAATGACTTACAATTTTCAGAATACTCATTAGTTAAGCACCCAATCAGAAGCAAAAAAAAGACAAACGACCATTGTATTTAGTCGTCATATATTGCAAAAAAGAGTATCTTTACTTTCTTAAATAAACTTATCAAATTTTCAATGCTTCAGTCATAATTTATTGCTTGTTGCATAATTTTTCACTTTAGAAATGACTCCTTTCCTAATCTTCCGATTTTCAATTACTGCTGAGAATTCTGCTCTTGTTTACGTCTACGCAACCGTGCAGCAATAGCCGTAATCAAAGCTGCACCTTTACCACTTCCATCAGCAGTGTGCAATAATTTGAACTGAAAGTTCATAAATTTTTTATCATTATAATTTCGATGTCTATAACAAATGAAATGATTTAAAAGTTGAAAGAAAGAACAAGTTCCGAGTAAACCACATTTACGAAAACGGCTAACATCAATTTAATACTGATATGATTTAATGCATCATGAAATATAAATATTATTTAATGATGACCTGCTATTGCTGTCTTTAATAACAAGATAAACAGAGCAAATTTAATTTTATCTCTATGGAAACTGTTGACTTAATAATTATTTCTTGAATTATGCACTCAAATGGTCACTATATGTCAAAATTTTAAATAAAGACTGACTTGAAGACCTGGGTCGACAAGTTCCTTCAGTTTTTCATGAACCCAAAATTCAAAAAATGGATGATACTTGTAAGTGCTTCCATCTATGCCAACTACCATATCTGGTTTTCGTACACGATTTAACACGCATGCAATTGCTAAAATTTCAAAATATTTCAAAGTTTAAGTGTTAATACTAATAAACTCAACTTTAAAATCACAATCTATCAATAACTTGCTCTACAAGCTTCCACAACTGGTCTCTTGTAAGCACACATAAATTATATGTTGTTCGCACTCGTTTTATCAAAAATATATATTAATTTGACAATTTACCAGCTGCACCGAGATTTGCTGATCGACGCGATACAACAAGACAGACTTCTCGAAATATTAGCATATCACTGAAGGAGAACCGATCAATGCCTAACTCGCCCATAATTTGTCTTGTATTACTGTACGACCCACTTTCATCGCTAAAAAAATAATATATAACATTACACTTTTTGAATTACAAATTGATGGAACAGTGGATCACAAAGAAGGCGATTTTAAAGCCCAGTATTAATTACGATAAATTTATATTCATTTCAATTACAAGACACCTTAAAAATTCCACCTCAGAATTTCAGAAATATATTTAGTAGGGAAAGAATCTCTCTCAAACAGTGCGTCTGATCCTTTACCATCAAATAATACTCCAGCTCGTGTGAGCTTTGCCAAAACAACACGAACCACCTCTCCCATGCATTTACCTCCCACAAGTTTATCAAACCTATAATTATTTCATAAATTTATAATATTGTCTATATTAAATATCTTTTTCATTAAACGAATAACCAAAAAAGTAAATCTGCAAAGAAACAGACAACAAGAAATCTTCAGTAAATTTATATATGCAGTAATAAAGTAAGTAATAGTAGTACATCAAAATTAGAATCTAAAAGTGATTATCAATTTTTCAAAATCCATCAAACATTCAACAGAACCTGTTCACTCCTGGATGTTCAGACTCATTGTCAACTATTCTATCATATTCAGTTATGATGTAATCAGCTTCACATTTATCTCCAAAACCACCCCACTCAGTATCAATTATCATTTCAGGATATGAATAATGTACTTCTGATTTTGATAAACCATATTTAATTTTTGATACATCTTCCATGTACGAAGCATTGGTGCCCGTAGCTGAAAATTCAGATTACAGTACAACAATTATTTATTACTCATAAAGAACTATGCAGACAACACTTTGAATTTTTTCTTTTCTAAGAAAAAAATCTACAGTTCAATCATGTATGCATGATTTGCACGAATAAATTCATCCCTTTACAAGAAGAAAAAAATTTTCGTTCAAAGAAACAAGAAAAACTCTTCTTTCATAAAGTTATTACCATGCTACTCAACAGTAATGAGTTATAAGTTAGTAAGTTATTACCAATGAACAGCACTAAGCAATAACTATAGTGTGCATAATTAATTTTATGCTATAATTGTAACCATTACAAGTTAGCTAATTTGCATTCTACTTTTGGTTTTACTTACCAATGATGGCTCCAATATGACATTGACCATTAGTTTGATGAGCGGCTGATACCATTGTACCAACAGTATCATTAATTAGTGCTACCACTTCAACTTTGATATCCTATAAATCAACCAGAAATCAGTAACAATTAGGTTAAAGAAAATGAAGAAAAAGGCTTAAATGTTAACTTACATTGTATTTTTGATTAATTTTTAGAAAATTTATGCTTGCGAAAATTGCAACAGACATTCATGCATCTGTTTTATTTTTGCCATTAAAAGCACAATCTTCGAATACTTATCATGGAAATAGCACTAAAATACTAAGAATTAATGTCAAAAAGAATTTTTAAAGAAGCACAAAGCCTTACACCCCTTTTTAGGATTGCATTTTCCAAAAGTTTCACGACATCCTCTCCAACCACTCCTGATGCTTGAAAACCTTTCGTCCATCTGGAAATTTAGTTCAGTACAAAAATGCACCAATCAGTAAGCAAAAATAACAAAACAAAAGCTTCAATATAAAAAATTAAAAAATTTTCTAAAGTACACATGTCAATATCACCTCAGTAATGTAGCAGAACGTAAACTTCTTTGATCGCATGGGTACGAAAATGTAAATCCTAAAGGTAAGCCATCATTTTGCACACCTTTTTCGACTAGAAATTCAGCCAAACACTTTGCAATATAATCAAATAACTGAAATTAAAATGAGATAAGAATAAAAGGAATCAGTTATTTTCTGAAAGTAATAAAGTTCTAAGTCTTAAAGTGAAATTAAAAATGTTCAAGAAGAAACACTTGCATTCCTTCTTTGAAAAAAAAAATTTTATAACGTAAACAAATATTTAATTGTGTGATAAATGATAACCTTGTTATCACTTTTAAAATATATATTTGTTTGTGTATCTTTCAAAGTGTATCTAGATCAATCTATCCCGATCTATCTATATCATGCTATGAAATTGCACGACCAACCAATTCACCGGTCCCATGCATCGCCCAATTTGGTATCCTCGTATTAAACTGCTCAGTTTTCAGCTCTTCGTTAGGCACAATATCCATTAACATCACGCGAAGATTAGTACCACCCAAATCCATCGCAATAAATCTTCCTTCTTCTGCAAACAACAGTATTGCAAAAAATTAACCTTGATATTTTGCTCTTCTTACCATGCTATATCATTCAACAATGACTCCACATTCAAAAAAAAAAAATTAAATGAAAAATTAAAACCAAAAAAAGACGAATATTTGATTCAATTTAAATGCTAGCAACTTATGTAAATAAACAAGAAATGCGAACCAGTTCTGGGAGACAACTGGTTAAAAATTCAACTCACACACAAAAAACCATGAACTTCACCAGATTCTCTTCTAAACTTTCACAACTAATTATTCCACTAAACAATCATTATATGCTTACAATAGAACTGTAATGACGAGAAAGAGCTAGCAAAGCATAATGAATAATAAATAAGTCTTTAATACAAATAGCATCATTTGCAACATATTTTGTTTACTTAAAAAAAGTCATTCTTTTCTCAAATTCATTTTCTCTGAACAAAAAATAGTTTTATACAAATAAAACCAATTCAAAAGACGAATTATTCCACGAAAATCGATCTCATCTAAATTTAATCTGATGATAATTTTCTGTTCAAGCCACAAAGTACTGCATTTTGTCAAATGATCTCATTCTGAACCTCAGCTTAGTTTCTGTTTAACAATAAATGTTTTGATAAAAACCAATATAATAAGTAAAATGATTTACACACGCATGTGTTGAAATATTTTGCGGAATTCATCTTCATCTTTTTTCAATTCTACATATAACTTTTTGAACTCTAAAAATAAATAAAATTGCACTATTAGACTTTTATTCAAAAAGAATTTTACATTCTATTCCTAAAGCAACAGAAACTTTTGATTTGCTCTTCATACTATGATTTACAATAACTAAGCACTGTTTACATCCAACTCTACGCTCGGATATTTTCTCATTTATTACACTACAAATATTATCCAGTAACGTCAACAGTCTAGGCTTAAAGTGTTAGAATAGCACAAGGTGAAATTTTTTGCTTTTATTATTGTTTATGACTTATTCACTTATCTCCGTAAGAGCAATACCAATTGCAAAACATTCTTAACAAAAATCTGACCTGTCCCATTTGGTAATTCAGGCACAAAAGATGGCAACATCGATACAGAGCTATTTTCAGGTCCACCTTCGAGACCTTTATCCATTGCACGAGACATTTCTGCCATCATCCGTCGAAGGGTTCCATTTGATAATTTAAACTCTGCCATTACTCTTTCCATCTAAAAATTTGCATAAATTAATTTGAAACGCACCAAAAATAATGCTCAACTTGAGAAAATACTTCATCTTTTGCCCACGTTAGTTCATCGATATTTAGTGGAATCAACAATTTAGTCAAAAAATATATACCGAAATTGGCTCATCTCCAAATCTTTCTTGACCTGATGAATCTCCAGAGCTTTTTCGACTTTCATTTTCATCAGCTTTCGCTTCATTATAAGAGTTTTTCTCGTTTACAGGTTGGAAACCATCTTTCCATCGTTGCCATGCACTAGTAATTGTCAAAAATCCTATCATTGATGATTCGATCTGTAAATCTTAAATTTTAACATTTCAAGTAATAGAAAAACGAATGCTAACGAAAAATTGAATAGTCTTAAACAAATGACTACACAGACTTTGAATGTAAAAAGTAAACTAAGTGGAAAACGATAATCTTCATTGATTTACCAATTTAAAACAATTTTCTGCACTACTGATTTTAGAAGAGTCTGAAAATTCTTTCCATGAGATTCAAAAATTTGTAAAAAAAAGCAATATATTCTTACTCATAACATTATTTTAACTAAGATTCCACAATAAAATTGCTACTGAAATTAATAATTCTGGATGTGACCTAAAATTCATTACCTCAAATTCTGATCTCAAGGTGAAATTCTATGAAACTGAATGTTTAGAGAACAAAATTTTGCATGCACAAGAAGAGCAATCTCAAATACAAAAAAGTACAGAAAGTATCATCAGAAAAACGAGTAGAATAAGACAGTTGTTGCAAAAACTGCGCAAACTAAGAAATAATCAATTTTTAACAAAATAACAATAAATGCAATAAATTTCTACAAAATTTGAAAGAAAGCAAAATTACTGAACACTGATTTCAAGCTTTTCTGCTATATTTTACTTACCTAATTTTTGAGGCAGAAAATTTTTTACTTGTGATTATTGAGAGTATTTCCTGCAAATAAAATGCTACTTTTTCTGATCTAAAATAAAAAACACGTAAGTAATACTATAAATTTATTGCAAAGCACTGGCAGAGTGATAAGTACAAACGTTTCTGACTGAAAAAACTTGGAAATACAAATATTTGATACATACCAAAATCAAATAAATGGCAGAAAGTTGTTAAGAAATTTTGCTGCAAAAAGTTTCTGCACACAAACTCTGTAAGTATCTCTCTCAAATTATGGAGAAGTAAGCAAAACTTAAGATTACATCTCACTTGTATAATACTGTAAATTGTAAATTCATAGACAAAATGTGGTCAAAAAAAAAGAATTGTTTAATCGAAGATACAACTTTCGATACAAAGATTTCTATCAAAGATACTCGAAATGCATCCAATAAATTAATCTTAGTACTGCCATGAAAAATGAATATTGCATTAAAATCACAATCTCAAATCAACTGCAATGAGTTGACATCGACTCTCTCAAAATTTTTCATCGCTTCATATATTATAGCAAAATATTACTTCACTCAGCCTTCTCAGCCACAGACTTAATTCAATTATAAAAGATTACAGCCGTTATAACTGAGGTTGCGAAGTGAAGAATTAATTGACTCATATGAGTAATTAATTAACTTTGAAAATTATTCATTTTGTATCTTAATTTACTTTGCAAACGATGAATAGTATGATTCTACTTACTTCATTGATTATGAATTACATTTCCGTGCACATTATTATTTTGTATTCTGCTTAATCCATTTTTAATACATGCATGTGACTCTTACAGTACACTTTAATTTAATCGTAATTTTGAAGATATTATTTCTTAGAAACAAATTCTTCGTATTATCATCATTCTGCACTCTGTAATGTTTTGCAAAATAAATCCACAGAAAAAGGCTCTGGTAAAGAAAAATTTATTCTATCACATGGCTACTGACCAGAAACAGAGAAAGTTCAAACGATCAACCATTCTAAAACAGCTATTTTACAATTAAAGCAGAAGAAAAAAAGAAGATATTTGGTACTTTTGAAGAGAGTTTTCTGATAATTGTTTTAGATTCAGTATTCTGAACAACGGAATGAAAATTTTCTTACATGCATGCATTGTATATGTATTGTTTCCTACTTCAGTTCACTTGACGGCCTTATTGAAAACTGATAAATAATATTGTTAAGCTGATAAAAATTACATATGTAATACAATCAACACTAAAAATAAAATCGTCTAAATGACTTATTCATGTGTCTGATAAAAATCAGCATATATATAGATAACGTGCAGCAGATCGGAGGTTAATGTATGCTGAATAATATTAATCTGCAATTATTTTATATAGACATAAAATATTAGTAATCAATTTATAAATAAGGATATCAACGGTATCTGAAAAATTTTGTTCAGTATATCCTCTCATAACTTATTTCTGTCTATTAATTAGAATGAACTCGGCAACTAATCAATCTAAACCAAGTTCTCCATATTACAAACAAGACGATAAGTTTGACAGAATAGTGTAAAGTGACGTAATTGTAAGCAATACGTCACTGATAATACAAAGCAAAAAGTGTGAGAGTATATATATTATAAGTTGATGCACTTCTGTTGACTCATCTTCAGAGTAGACAACTTTATAATTATCAGTTTAAAACTTTCCTCCAAATTACATAAAAATATGCCACGCGAAGATAGCTATGAGATAACAAAGAAGCAATATTTTCTGTGAGAAATGCCATTTTGTTGATTATGACAAGTGTGTGCATTAAGCAGCAGCTACACTTCTACGGGAGAAAAAATGTTTCACAGCTAGCACATAAACAAATGTCACGAATGAAGCTTACAAGAAATACTTAATATCAGAAACTGAAAAAATTAATCATTTGATCAGAAATTTTGAAAAAATAAATAAAAACAATCGTTCACAGTTTTTTTCGCATACGAAAGTCCCTATGAAATTGCAAAAGATATATACGTCGCATTCTCTTGTTTAATCACTACCCTTAGAAAGCATTCATTACTTGAACTTGTGAGCAGTTTACTAAGACGATTATTTCGTGCAGTATTTTGCATATCTTAATAATATTACTCAACGTCTTGTCCAACATAAGTAATTAAAAAGCTTGGTAATGTAATGATAATCAAGGCTGCTCATTATCAGCCAAATTTCAGAACTAATAATATTCTGACAAATTCAGTGCAGTTGCAGGTGATAATTAATGTTGATTTTTTAACTCGTAAATAATTTACTGCAA